TTGGTTGTTGTGTTGCTTGTTGCTAATCCTTTCTGACCATCTGATCATCAGAATAGAGCGAAAGCAGCTGTTAGAAAAATGCCTTCTTCGATGCATGAACCAAACTCTGAACCATGTAGAATTACTGAGATGGCAATAAATTTAAAGGTGTGGAGCTTGTTCCTCAAACACAGTGCAGCAGATTCTCACACTGATTTCAGAGTGATGACTACCATCTGAGCCTTTCTATTACTGTCATTAACTTCCTTGTCTGTGCTGCTTGTGTTAATTAAGTTAAACAGGTAATTCCCTTTCGACCTCTCCTCATGGTAATGGTGGTTACTGCCTGTTACTGTTGTTAGGTTCGCTTCATCACATGTCGTTAGAACTCCTTATGCTGTTGATGGTCCTAAAATGTTTCATCATTCTCTGCGCTAATCTATAAGAGGTGAAACTGACACTGTGTTAGCCATATCGTAGCTGTGATATACCGTTCAAGTAGTAAAACTCTATGGACATGTTACATGACAAATTCATTACAGTTCCTAAGCTTTGTTAGAACAGGTATTATGTTTGAAGAATGCACAGATAAACATACATAAACCGTGGTCATTTCAGGTGCACCTCTATTTTGTCATTTCATTTTATAGTAGTATGATTTAAGTCTTTTAACAAAAAGGCTTAAAAGCCACCAGATTGTGTAGTAGATAATAAAAGAAGAATAAAAATACACTCTCCAGTTTACTGATTTCCTCTGGGCTAATTCTCATGTCACTTGATTGAAATGGAATAACAGCGGTCATGTATTCAAAGTTTCCCCTGAAACAAAGTCCTCAGTAATAAAAGATTGTTCGCACAAAGACTGGTGTAATTATTGGACGATATCTTGCAACCATCAGAATCAAGATATTCTTACTGTTTTCATCTTTAGGTAAAAAATACATTTCGGTGAATTCATTTTGTCAAACAGTGTTTCTCTTCAAACAATTCAAGTAGTCATTAATATGTGAATATCACTTTGGTACTATTGTAGAGTTCAATTTCATAGTACAATAATTTATTTTGCATGATATGCAGCGATCGCACACTGGATGACATATACATTACCTCCATTCACATCAGTGTTTTGAGATAATAATCCAAATTTGCTGGTCATTTCTTGCTCTCACTTCATCTCATCGTCAAAAGTATTTTGTAAATTCATACTGAATCTTTCCTACTTACTCGTTTGATGTAAATACTACATATAAAGATTCCGCGATCTATCTATCCCTCCATCTAACTAAGTCAGTCCTAACAACTTCAGCTATACTCCATCCAATTTCGTGATTGTATTTTATTGCATGAATAATAATGACTGAGAATACGTAGTGAGTGAGCTGCGTAAGAAAATTCTTCTGATGAATTCGAGCGATGAATTTTGTTCAAAACATCATGAGTAAATAAACAATCCCCTATCACTGTATGTTTCATATCGAATAAATTACTTTTCCGTGGGACTGATACATCAGTCCCATCATCTTTCATATCATGGTCATCTGTCATAAAACATCTGAACAATTATCCATTGGCAATATCTGTGCAATGACTGAGTGAAAGTTGTCACAATATTCCTCTTGAACAATTGAGAACAAGATGAAGCGCATTCGTGAAGAATTGTTGTATTACATACTCTTCAGTTGTTCACAAATAAACACCACCACACATTACCACGGAATCATCTATGTTGAAGTGCAACAATGACACCTGTTCTGCTGAATAACGAAGAAGCATTCGCCTGAAACTTGTCCTATACTAATCATCTTATCTATTTACAACATAGCGTATAGTGTATTTTCCATGCTGTTTGTAAATTAGTTTCGTTTGTGCACGTATTTGATGATTCTTGCTGCCTCTGATTCACTTCTAATATATCTTTATAATTCTAAGGAGATATCAGTCTTTGTCACACAAACGAAATTGACAGGTCTTCCGGTCATGTCGGTGTACACGAAAAACTATTCTTCCTTCAGATTAGTGTGGTGAAAATTCTGAATGAAAATCCTACTTTGCTACACACTAATACTTGGGAACATTCTCATGTGCTATGGAGAATGAGACTTACCGAATTCGTCTTTATAATGAATCAATCCAATTGTTATCAAAAACTGTGGTGAGGCTGTGCTTACTATGCAGATTATTTCGTTTTCAATAAAATGCTCCATTTGCTTGTACGTTTCTGCATCAATCAGGTCACTGCTTTTCAGTCAAGTGGCATACCAAAAATATTTTGAAGTACTGTTAACTAGAAATATATTTTTATATACTTCGGGTTTACCGAAGAAAACTCTTGAAGTACGGCTTTTCAAATGAATTCGTGCATGTTTAGCTGCCATATTAGATCGATTACTGGTTATGTTTTTACATTTATATTGAATAATAATAATAAAGCTAATTTACCCTCTTTAAATTGTGATGATCCGAGTGTATTCAAAATAGACAGAGCACATTTGAATAATTCGATTGAGCATGATTCAGTACTCGGTACCACTATTCTTGGACTTTTCAGAATAATATACATGAAGAACTGGAAAATGTTACTGATAGAATTCAGTTGGCACCAATCAAAGGACTGTACACACGCCACTAGTTACTAACAAGTGTGCAATCAGAGTACTCAATACATTCCAACAGGAGGTCGATTGCGATCCTAAATAGCTTAGTGGTAACGTCTCCGACTGCAGCATTGTATGACGCAGGTATGAATAACAGAAGGGATATGAGTTCCTCCAATTTTTCAGATACACATTGCTAACTGACAGCTGCTAAAAAGTACTAAACGTTGGAGCAAGGCTTCTCGCTGATTGCCTCCAATCATTTAATATAAACTTGAAACAACTCATCCGAAACCATCCGTTTAGAAAACAGGATTCGATGACGAAAACGCTGCTAGTTTGCTGTAGTTTTGTTTCTTTTGACCGTCGTTTATGTTAGTATATTTTGTGACGTGTGCGATTTGATTCTTTTTAGAATGTTAAAATGAATATCTCCTTGGTTTTTTCCAATAGTCGAATGAAAAATAATTTCTGTATTAAACCAGTTCACTCACAATCTTTACCAGAATGAGCATGCCATCGATGACGCGGGTCTTTCAAAAGAGTCTCTTCTAGTGTACTTTTGAGTAGCTTGACTATAAATGACCTGAACCGCCATTCAGCACCTCTGTTTACTGTGAATCATTTGCAGTCACTCTTTCTATCATCATCATACGCAGTCAAATTTTAAGCTGATAATTTGTGTACAATTTCAAAATCATCGCATGTTCATAGAATATTACTACTTACTCTTATATGCTAGTTTACAAATTATATCAAACAAAGTATTTAAAGGAATTTCATATGGCAAAATATTTCAGCAAATTTGTTTTCTAATGATGTTCAATGAACTGTAAACTAAATCATCATTATTACTAGTGTTATTTTAAAAGTCAAGATTGGTTAATGCTCTAACACTCGAGAAGGGAATGAATTTTGGTTTTGTTCACACACACACAGATTAGTGAGTTGTGGTTGCAAAAATCATACATATTTTACAACCATTCCTTTTCAGCACATCTGCAACAACGAGCAGCACAGGTGGAAAATCGAAATTCCTCACGGGTGAAAGCATTCTACTTCCACTGACTGACTGAATATATATTTACACGGCTAATCAACAATACATTTTTCAACATCAAAATGTCTACTGCCTAAAACGTCTCAATAAAGTTATCTTCGAATAAAAATGTGACCATTAAAAAAAACCTCTAACAGTTGACCATCTTTGAATTTATAGATCCATAATATATTTGTTTTCAGGAAACCATTGTAAATGAAGATTCACTGAACGTGGTCAGTAGTTTTGACATCAGTGATGTTAATTAGCTTAGATGACTTCAAGACTAGATGATAAATAGTTTTGCTGAGGTTGTCTATACATTCTATGGCGAAGCTATGAATAATTGATGAGTAGGCTGATGGACAGGATGATCGAATCCAAGCTAGCAGGGACCCAGTTTACATAGTTATTTTGAATAAAATTGCTCTCACAATACCTGGGAATATATCACTGAAGTTTAGTCTTGCGTTTTGCTAATACTTACATACTATTTGGAAAGAATATTTCCAAACCTAAATAGGAAGTGGAATTCACTGCATCTTATTAGGTAGATAAGTATCTGTTTTAACCATGGGGCAAAGTCCTTGCACTTAGCTGTGCATATGAGTGTGACTAAGAACAACATCAGATTTTCGTTTGAGTCGACTGAGTTTTGATTCCTGATATGTTGAGTTGTTACTTCAACTTAGGCAAACATCAGTACAAAATTCCTTCATTTCTTCGTGGTTATATCTTATTTAAGTGGAAAGAACACATTGATTCTGCGATCTCTAGACCCAAACCGCTTTGAACACCACTGATTCACCATGGTGATATCGTTAGTAGAAGGTTGAAGCAAAATATGAAATAGTGGGTAAAATGTGTGGCTTGATGAAATTTTAAAGACGATATTCTATTTCACTCTTAGATATTTTTGAATGGTCGAAACTTGAAATGCTTTGAACTGGTGACATCCTGCGAAATACTCTGATCATGAAGTCAGGTCTCACTCTCTGAAAACGCGTATATTTTATTATCTTGCTTTTAAATTCCTTCAGTTCATGGAATTTCAGAAGTCCTGTGTTCATTTGGTTGAAGAGATATTCTAAGTGAGCGAAAGTGTTGCACAACTGTGAAATATCGTTTGTGAAAACAAAATTTGTAAATCATTCAACTCTTCTGTATTTTCAACATACTTTGTCTGATTTCAAGGCAGCAGCAACAACTTAGGTTGACAGCTTTTAAATGGTCTATTAACAATTCACACTTCGTAGAATTCAATGCAGACAGAAACACTTTTCTTCTCGTTGGAGACAGTCCTTACATATGCATCTTAGTTTAAGAAATTAGCTGACGTTTGTTATTTTGTATCTAAGAATACCTGTTTTCATTGATCAGCTGAACAGTCAGAAATTTTTTCGCCAATCTGTGAATTTCAGGGAAGATTAATAGAAACAGCAATTATTCAGCTTTCATTAGACATTCTTGAAAATGTACATAATTACTTACATTCTTCTGGAGCCGCTAAAAACAGAGGAACGTTTAGGCGACATAATACAATTGCTTTTCCATTCACACTATAAGCTCAGTTTAATTTTATTTAAATTAATCCTCTCTAACACACCATTCATCACCGCAAAATGAAGTCAGACACGTGAATCTGCTGAAACAGTATCAGTGGTTAGGTGATTATGTAAGAGAAATCACAAAAAATGTCTGAGACAAATTAGTCACATTTAAATGAAATTCTACATTGTCGAATACACTTACACATATCTAAGCCTTCGAAAATAATTATCAGTGAATATCGTAAAATATGAAGTCCACACTGTTGTAGAGTCCACCAGTGATTCGCATTAAGATAAATGCAATAAAAAATGGATTTTATCTAAGCTACTTAATTAATTATGAACATATGGTTGTAGAATCTGAATAGGAAGTCACACGAAATCATTGTTCATTGCAACAGTTCTATCATTTTAACAAGCCTGTAAGACGCCAGCTTTGTACATTTACCATGCTTCTTCGAAGTATATATTCACAATACTGCAAATGAATACACAAGAAGCATCATATCTTCAAACGATATACACATTGAGGTATAGTTTAATGTGAAGATGTGTGTGCATATTTATGAGAGTGTAGAATTTGTGCGCTGTGGTAGAATATATTTTCATAATATATTGCTTTATTTTGTATAACTGATGGTGATACACTGTTGACAATTTGATGATTTTTCCAGCACAATTCATTTCCCATAATCACATCAATATATTCTCACAATTTCATAATTTGCTTCATGATTTCTTCTTTCTTCCCTCTGTTATTTATTGTATATTTCCGTATATCTGGCATAGGCAATGCGTCATTTCCATTGCAAGTGTTTGGCATTTTTATGAGCCTACGTTATGTGTACATCAAGATGAGAACTACTCAGTGTGACATTTTCATTCCAACTACTTTCTGTGATAATATTATAAAGCGATCCTGCATCCTCCATCAAAAATGCAAAATTGGATAAGAAACAATATCAAGAATTAACCCAGAGGAAATAAACTTACAAGCGTAGCCTGCTTTGATAACTATTTTTGTACACGCATGTGATTAATTGCATTCAACTGATGAGTATGGAAGAAGCACTTTTGTTTCGTACAAAATTTGATTTTGATCTCATTTAAAGAGTGAAATCCCTCAAAATATTGTGTCACACACAAATTATTTTTACTATTCTGTTCCTACATTAGGTTCCTATACTACGCTCTTTGTACATTCGCCTTCATTGGTTGATTGAACAGAGGAAGATTAGATCACTTTGCATTTATCATATATGCGTACGCCTCATTCATGCTAAAATGATTCATGCATAGGTTTATTTACAACTTCATCTATTGAAGTCATCGAAGTAATTTGAGTTTATTGCATTAAGGCTTAATACTCACGCTTTTGGTAATTAGTCCCTTTAAATAAAACGCTTGGTATAAGCTAAATTGTTAACAGAAAGCAAATATAATTTTTGATTTACAAAAGTATGCATAGCAAGAATTAACAGCTGTGTAACTGAACAGTCATTTACAATTGTGGGAGATTAAATAGTCAGCTGAGGAATTCTTTAGAAATGAGTATCCGTGTAAAATTGAAGAAACATTCTATGAATTACATTTTTATGGAAATGTGTTCTATTCTGAATAGATATTTCCTGGTAATGGTATTCAACAGTTTTTATAACCGAAAGCTTTGTAAGACTAGAATGGGATCAATTAACCTGGTGATGTGCCTGTTTACTAACAAGCTGCTTCTAACAACACAATTTCAGAAGGCAGTGATTGGCTGTTAAAGTACTTCCGTATTTAACACATAGGGAGTTCTCTAGGCAAAGTTGAAACCGTCTATTCAGATATTTCGATGAATGGAATGAAACTGTGGTCATTTGATATATTTAGAATTCAAAGATCTTCCTGTTTGCTCATAAATTTCATCAGTAGTTGTTAGTATTCTTTTCTTTCACAATGTACCATATTCCAACCACCAAATTTCAATGACATGTAATTGTTTCAGGATTCTCAACATTTTACTTCAATTCATCAGTCATCACTACTATTTCCGCGTCCTTTAATCATACAACCAGTGTCAAAACAGTTAGATGAGGAAGGTAGAAAAGAGGACTACCGAAATTCTGATATTATCAGAGTTCATAGTACATTTTCTGTTGGCAGCAACAACTTGAAAAATCAGACAAGTGGTGACATTTTGCCTTAATTACGTACTCAAAAACATTTGTAGCACAAGCTTAAAATTCATCATCGAGTTTAACCATTTGTTCTGTTCATGAAGCACTGAAAATGAGATACTGTTAGCCAGGTCGTATTGAAAACTATCGTGTTAGAATCATTTAAAAAAAGCAAAAAAATTAGAGGTAGCGTTGATGAAAACATTGATCGTATGTAAACCAGAAAACGTGATGGATTAACTTACAGTCATCTTATAAGTGTAAAAATGGGTTGAGTAGATTTTATTGACATTAAAATGCAAGCGAAATTGTGTCACATGAAACGCAGAATAACTTGCAGAGATGTGTTGTGCAGTCAACAAAACCTAATGAATTTCTATCTTAATGCAAACTGCATCTGATAAAGACCTATGAGATAATAAAGTAAGTTTTGATAGCTCCACGAGAAGCAGATCGCACTCATACATACAGAAAATGACAAAATACAGGGGGTAGCAGAATCGCTATTCATATGTAAACTTTCTGTTTGAAATAAAATCAAACTAAATAATGAATTCATTAAATGAGCAAAATTTCATCCAGTCAGTGAGCTCTTATTGAATATTAATGAAACGACACTACTCACCAACTGTAGACTTCCCTGTATAGTAAGAAAACACATTTTACAAGATAATCAATTCCTGAAATTCATTCAAATAGAAACGTCTCGAGAAGTGAACGTCACATTTACATTCAGCACCAATAAAATATTCACTTTAGAACTTTTATGCAGTATTAAAACACACACATTGATACCACGTGATACTGATTATCTACCCAATACAAACGCTTACAGCATCTGTGTGTGAGATTATGTAAAATCTCAGTTATGAATTTTGTGAATGCTTGCAGCATATCCTTGCCATTGTGTCTAGGTAGATTCTACACTGGCGTATGGTTTCTTCAAATTTAATTCTATGTGCAGCAGGCTATGTACAAACACATCTAAATTGTGCCAAACTTCGATATTATTCACACTTTAGTTTGCATGAAAACACAGTAACAAAGTTAGTGCAAATTTTGTTTCCACGTTTAGGATTTTATGTGTCTGACCATCGTGAAGATTACCTGAATAAATTTAGTAATGATATTTGAAACACTTTCGTGTGGGCTGAATCATATTCTACAAGATATAAACAGTTTTTAGTTTGACTTGTTTCCGACGTAATGTGGAAATGTTTTAGGGCCACTTGGACACTCTGCGATGAATAGACCAAACACAGACTGAAGGGAACACAGACAGTGTGCAATCATTTGACAGGTAGCATGTCTATTCGAATTGAGATTAATTTAAACGATGAATACATTAATCCACTAATTGCGTGTGAATGTTTAGCGCGGAAGTAGTAAAGTAGGATTCAAATAAAAATTATTCCAACTTAAAAGTAATCGAAATGAATAAAAATCGAGAATAGGTAAACAAACTAATGTTAGCTCATGATGGAACCCTCTCTCCAAAAATTGGAAAACTCAAAGTATCATACCATTTGAGAAAGTTATGAAAAGATGGACTCACAGAGTTTTCCTTGAATAAAATAAACAAAACGGAAATATATGAATTAATTACAGGAATTCATGAATCCGTCGGCATGATGTGGACAATTTTTTAATCTTAAAACTTCAAAGATACGTTCATTACTGCAAATGAAACTGGAATATTTCAGTAGTGTTTCCGAATTCCATGCTACTTATATCGGTATAAGCAGGTAAATCAATAGGTAAGGGGAGAGATATGTTATTTCAGTGTAACTTCAGGGTTCAAACTGTTCAATTCGACCCAATAAATAACAACATACTGCAGTATTGCATTTCGAGAGAGGTAGAAAATATTGGTAATCTGTGAAAACTTGATGGAATTTTCTTGAACCATTTAATATATGTGCAAGAATTCAGCTATATGTTATCATGTAATTCTGCACGAACTTGTATTTTCGATACATCATAGCATTATCTAAGGGATGACGTATGGAACACAATTAATTGTTGACAATCAATACTCACTACCACCAGGAACTGTCAAAAAGTAAACATGCAAAATAATTGTGCTGTTGAGAAAGAGAATGATTACATTTAGGGTAATCAGTGTAATTGTTTCAGTAAGCATAGGTTGTATTTATAGGTGAAATTAGTGAATCATATCCAACTTCAGAAGAAAGCAAAGGATATATTGTCTTAACAGTTTCTGGCGTGTTTACACTTGCTCTTATTTATTTGCATATTATTGAAAAATTATATAAATAGTAAATGATCGAGATCATCATCAATTTCTCTGGGTTAATATGATGCCCTAGATGTTTCAGAAAAATTAGTGAGGAGGACACAAAACGTCGCCCAACTGAATGACTTTTTATAGGTAACCAGTGTTGTAGAAACCTTGGAGTTCTGCAATATATATTATATTCACCATTTGTGTCTGTTAAGATTTCTGATAACAAGAACCTGTTGATAGGACGACGCCCTGTGTTAGTTAAATTCAGAATCTCCCTCGGATGAGAAGTAGAAGACTGTTGTCAAAACGACAGATATGCAATTCATCATATCCTGAAGTCTGAAGAATTCGATGACACTCAATTCAGTTCTTTAAATGCTCGAACCGTGTTGAAGTGAATCGCATTGGTGTGTAAAGCTGAAATTTGAAGGAACAGGATATCGGGAAGACAGTTTTATATTATCAGCTGATTATACAGTATTCATTGCGGTTAAAATTCGGGTTATTTTGTTGTGAATTATGGATCCCACACACTGTCAAATTCTAACAGCCAGTTATTAACATATTTAATGAATGGAAAATGCAACTTACTCGCTAATAATCGTAAATAAGAAGGAATTGAATATCACAATTCTACTGATCGTTTTTACGTATTCGCTAAAATACAAACATTAATTAAGGATGACGTGAATGAAGTTCGAGGAAGACTACATCCTGTAATTAAGCATCGAAGATACTGACCTGACTTGTTAATACAATATGTGTCAATGCATCATTAAATATGATTTCTGGTCAGTCGAATGAATAGATCCGGATTACAGAGGCCCTCTGAAATCATTGGGCTACTATCAAACTATCTGGTATTCGCTCTTTCTTTACTGTTTCATTCAACTAATCATCACAGTGAGATACAATCTACACTTGCGCACAACTCCAAATAAAATTCCACATAGTAATTCCACACATAGTAAGTTTTCGAAGGAAATGGCGAAACACATTAAGGATTAGTACTGGAGCAGCGTTCTGGTTGGACAGTATTGCTTCGGATAACATATCATCAGTTATTATATTATTTGAAGATTCTGTACAATGAGTAAACGCCTTGCAATTACACCCACCCAATGTTCCGTGTTGTGTATAAACACACTTTCTAGAATGAAGTTCCTATTAAAAGCATTAAAATTCTCAGACCAAAGAGGCAGTATAGCGACTGAACTGAGCAACAATATTCATAATCAGAATGATAACCGTGCTATTTCTTTCCACTGTACACATCAATGACTGCATGAAATGATGTTTGCAGTTACTACTGGTAACTAAATTAATGCAAATTCAAAGACGATAAGATAATGTGAGGCTACATATTCGTGGCAGTATGCCCCAACTGTTTTGGAAGAAATCAAAACACTGATTTACTTCCACAGAAGAGCGAATGCAGCATTAGTAGTTCGGTACATTTTTTTATCATAAGACTGGTTAAATCAGTTCACTGAAATATTTTCAAACCTACTTATCTGCACTGAATTACATTAAGATAATTTCAAAATAAAATATTTACTGAAATGTGCAACTATAAGTAATAAAAGACAGTCACTTCAATAGAATAATCCGGAAAATGTGGCATCTTATGGACAAGACAACAGGTACATATATGTTCATGAAAAATACCTACAGCTTCAGACATAACAACACTGTCATACCACAGTCGAGTAGTTTGTTGAAAGTAGAAATTTCGAGAGTACATTAGTATAATAATTAAAAGTGTATTGCATTGTGAAACAGGGGTAGAGAATATTATTTGATATCGTGTGCATAGAAGCATAAAAGTCGTGTCTGAGCATTCATTATATGATAACAAAAGTCCTCACTTTCCGATAATCAACTTACTATCTGTAAACGAACGTTTGAAATTTAGCGAAATTTCGATTGGGGAAAGAAATTTTATGGACGAGAATAAACTAATCGGATTAATAAACATAACGAAAATCACATGTCAAAATGCATTGATAATTCTGCATATTCATTAAATGTTTTCATCAAATATGCCTAATATCTATCGAAGTTTTTTAAGTCGGAATACCAGTGATGAAAACGAAACGAAGTAGGCATTTGTCAGAAGTATATCAAATTTAGATTTGTTTAGAAATCCGTGATTCACACTTTTGTTTAATATACTGTATCCTATCAATAAAAAGCTCTGATTTCTTAATAACCTTATTTAAAATCATAGGTAGCAAACACTTTTCCTCGAAACTGTTTTAGTCGCATGAATGCACACAGAAGCATACATAAGTGATTAGTGCGTCTAGCGAAAACAGCATAAAAATAATGCCATTCCATTGGCCTTCATAACAAATAAAGAAGATCTGTGTTTGAATCCATGCTCGATATCAAAAAATAATTTCTATGTAAGCGCAACCAGGGATAATGAATTCACACAACGGCAGAGAAATTCGGAAACTACTAGAGACGACAATTTCACAATATAATACCTGTATTCAAAAGTCACACTGCACTATCACACTGCTTAATTACAAATGATCTGTCAAGCAGAAGATATTGATGGATACCATTGTCATGTTACTAGTATAGACAAAGTCAGACAATTATATGGATATTCAATAGACGTATTACTAAGATAGTCCGTGTAATTATGATAATGCCATCCTACTCAATATCATCTGCAATGTATCAGTGCTATATGAATAAAACTTTTGCACTGTGGTAGAGTATAATTCCATTCCATTCATTTTGAAGTTAAGAAGTCGTGTGAGTACCTTGATATGATTATGAGCACTAAATTTTGCTCGAAACGTCATCAGTAAACATTACTGTATAGTACTGTGAGACTTAATCAATACAAAATTTACCCATAATGGAATGTCTAATGTAGTTCCCTCTGACAGGGTGATGATCAAGTTGATGAATTCGTCAACCAACCATTCCCCCTATGATTTAAACATAAATAATTCAGAATTATTTTATTTAAAAATCACTACAAATTTACACACGAAGAACCTAATCACAAAGCCACTGATTTATTCACAATGTCGGTTTATGGCTATACAGACTCAATATTTTTCTTTATAATCTGTTACTCACCGCCTGTCAAATTGGAAGACAATAGGAAATTAAATACAAATAATAGTTCTTGATAATTACAAGAAATCACCTTTCAAATAATCATGAATGCACTGTCACTGTTTAAGCAAACGTTTTGCAAATTAAACATTAGCAAAACAATGATAGAACGGCAATTTCACAAGGTCATTTAAATGTGATGTTTATTCTCAAATAAAGCTTGTTTTGTTTTAGATGATGACATCTGGACGATGTTGGCGATTATTGTGTGAGTTCAAATCGTATTCATGACTCTTTCATTCACTACTACTTGCTGCAAGTAGATCCGTGTGTTAGAGTAACTGTTGAATATTAGGATATTATTCGTAATAGATGTCATCAAGAGAACTGCATTCAGAGGCTGTGACTGAAATCAGCAGTGCAATCTTTATGATAAGAAGTGAAATTTCTAAAATATTGAAGGCGACTATTCCACTACAATATATTTTACCTCGTATGGCAAATACGACTGTCACAGTAAATAAATGTAGATAATTTTCCCAACACAACGTATTGCTTCTGGCACTATCAGGCTAATTACTTTAATTGAGTCACACAATGACGTGAACACCTCCATATGACTAAGACAAATAAATTGTGCAGAGAAGGTTATCCGTGTTATGTAAATACCATCTGATTGAATATCCTGTTAAGATTGCATAATAAAATCATATCTACTGATTAATCGATGAATTTCTGTTAGCTGTTTAGATTTGTGAAAAACGTGAAACATTTATAAGAAGGATTTTGTTACCACTGGAAATTGATAATATGAATCAGTGTGGTTCACAGTATTCAAGTACTGAATATTTCAGATGTAAGACAGAAGAAAACGATGAAATTATTACATGATTATCTGACTAGATTTCATGGTTGACAAGGATTCATTCTGATTACCCTGAAATTCCACTGAATCTGGAAATACACGTCTACTAGTCGAGTGCTTTCCATCTTTATGCAACCAGAGTTGATGTTCCTTTTTTTTTGTAATTTGATTATTTCAAAAAAGAACCTAACATAATTCATTCTTCATGGAAATATGTTAGTTAGCTTGACCTCAAATTATGAGAGTGATATTAAATACTTGCCAACAAAACAGAAGTCAAACTCCATTTCATTCCAAATTCTACTTACGTAGAATATATTCTCGGAATTTGTTTCTCAACCAGGCTTCATAAAATAAGAGAATGAGTAATGCAACATTATCAAGTGTAAGATGTGGATAAATAACACAACAAAAATCTGCACTTGCAAATCTGACTGGATAAATAACATGTATGGATACATAACGTAATACGAATACAATCGAATAAACACGAAACTACATTTGAGAAGATGGAAATAGTTTGCAGCTGGCTTCAAGATGATGATAAACTTTGATTCTTCATAACGAAAGACCTATTTTTGGACCTAGTGATATTACCAATCGAGAAACTCATTTACGTCTCTGCTTTTGTGAATTAGTAAGCGACAAAAAATAACCAGAAAGTCAAATCTCACCTACATTTAATTTGAAAAGAGTAAACTTAATATGCCAGTGGAGCACACCAGAATACGGGGGTTATTTGAGATTCCAGTCTAAAAGTTGCTTCGAAATATGGTGACTGGTGAAGTTCTACAGACTACTACTTTCACCCTTATTTCTAAAATATACTCGTACTTCAGTTATATGATACATACTAAATGTTAGCTAATTTAATATATCTTAAACATACCAGCTTCGTGCTCACGAATGAGAAATGAAACAGAGAATAGAATTACTACTACTCCTTGTTTGCGAATGTTCATTGTGATTGAAATGTTAACTGACTGAATGTCTGTCTCTTTATACACTGAAATTTATTATCGTTTTCAATCTAATTGATTTCTTTCAAAGAGATTTTGTCATATGAATTTGCAAGCTGTTTCAGCATCTCCAATGGTTTACTACAAAATAAATGTCAGTATGTCTTTGACATAATTCAATATTCTTATCGCTTGCTTCAAAACCGCTCTTGTTTTAGATTAGATGAGAAATGAAATAGTTACTGATTTTGAAGACAAATCAACATAAACGTGACTGTGTACAACAAGCACAACTTTGTTGTTTTTAATCCTGATTGTGAACAAATCATAATCTACTGGAATGAATTCTGTTCTATGCAGTAGGGATATTTCTACAAATAGAGTAGTGAGATGTTCCATAGAGAAAATTCAATAGAACCTAATTTATAAATACAGAAAGATGGAATATAAGAAAGCCACTAAGAATATACAGGAATAGTGAAACAGCAGTAGTAGAGAGAGTGGTAGAAAGTAGTGCTCAGGAAAGTTTATTTAGATACGGATGGTAGTGTACAGTAGACTATTGAGGAGGAACCAATCCACATTGTCATATGTCGATTACTTGTGTGTAGTTACTGACACAGTGTCTCATCACATATGTCAACGTGCATGACCTCTCGCGAGTTATTCACATCCCCCTCTTACTAACAAAGTGAGTTCCTGTGATAATTTAGAGTGAATTTCATGAGCATTCATTGGTGTGTGATATGTGCTAAATATATCGAAAACGACAATTAAACGCCTACCATTGAAAACTGCTTGCGTATGAAACCTGGAATACATGTATATGAATAAGTCACGATACAAACACTTATTCATCTTCCATCCAACACTAAGCGAATGTTGCGCCAAAACAGGTTAGTTACCTGTGGAAACACAGTCATCTTGATGACGGTTTATGGCAATTCTTGGAAATGAAATATTTAGTGATATCACTCATGTGCTTTGACTGATCGGCATCTATCATCTTTACCATGGCTGTATATAAATGTTCACATAGTTGTGGTGACCCGAGTGTTATTCTAGAAAAATACTGTTATTCTTTACCTGCTCGAGATGACTTGATTGCCAATTAGAAAGGTGGCTATCACTTTGGAAAATTGAATCCACCTGTTGCAATATGGATGTTACAGAAAGTCCAGAACTTCTAACCATCAATAATCACAGTGGTCTGCTTGAAATCAACAGAATAATGCTAGAATGGAATCTATCTTATCGAATATACCTGACAAACAAATACTGAATGACTAGGAGCGCGACGATTTTTAGTATGTTCAAAATACCTTGGATTTATATTCGATGGATGTGACAGACATCAAGAACATGACAGTATACATGCTATAAAAGAAGTGCCAGCAACTTTAAGTAACTTTGCCTTAAGCAGCATTAGTTAATTAATCCCAAGATGCAGTATTATTAAGGGACACAGACAATTCGAACAATTCAACAAATACAAACCGAAGAACCGATACGTCTGTAGGTTAATTTGTTGACATAGAAATGATCATATTCACTCTAATTGAAGTCTAAAGCAACATTCAACTGAGCTAAGGTTTCACACCCGTTTGACACGTTCACTCAAATGAATCTTGTGAATTCTGACAGAATATTTGTCTACTAACGTAAACGATTTCCACTCTACAACAGTACGTTTGTTTACAAGAGTCTTGTGAATGATTAATTGGTAAACCACCGCACATTTGTTTTCTCAACTTCAGATTTGCCTCTGCTATCAACAAGATGTTTTTATACATAAAAACCATGTAAATTATCAGACTACAAGTGAAATCGATTTTCACAATGACCATCTCATCAGAATATTTTGTATCTTCAGATGAAAACGAAATCAATAGTTCTTGTATTGGTCGGTTGTATGCATGGTGGTGTTTTCATCTTGTTTGTGATTCAAGGAATTTTATTCAGCACACCTTCTTTATGCCATAGTTCCTATTGTTGTATATCATAGTGAATTTTCTACCTGTTTCATCTGAGTGTGTGAAAGTGTGTTACAATGATTTTACCCCTATTGTATCATGTTTCTGGTTGAGAAATTAAATGTTACTAGATGATTTGTCCTTGATGAATATCCAGAGTGATAACTTCATTTCACCCGTGTATATAAGCTGCCAAAACGTTTGAAAGAAACAAACCATTCAAAAATGTACTTCTCATTGCATTGTGTGTGACATTTCATACCCTTACAAATATTTGAGATCAGCCTGTAAAGATGCTATTGCCAGATCAGGTAAGGCTGTTCAGTGAGGGCGTCGACCTCTAATTTGATTTACTACTCTGCAATACCTGAGTACCTAGGAATTCTCCGTTAAGTTATGAAAAGGAACAGCTGCATAGTGATGTGTTACTCTTTACAGCAGTATCATTTACAGCCAGTATCGTTACAGCAATCTCATTCAACAGGTTTATGACAATGCAATATATCAAGTGATCCACAACGAGAAAGTCAGTGAAGCCTTTCAATTTAAGCAGGAGAAAGGCAAGGTTGCCTACGATAACCGATGGTCGACCGGATTACGCGGCAGACTGCAGTTGGCGAGAAGATAAGTTCAAGTTGGACCAATAAGAAGAAAAAGAAAAGCATTTCTAACAGTCCTTAGACTTTCATAAACTGGTGCTTTCCCTGTATCTTCCGAAAGAAATAGCAACAAGAAACTCTGGCAGTCAAGAAACTTCCGTCCAAGGAACATGCCGAAGGAAATGGATGTGGATTGGAAATGCATTCATGAGGACGCTGAGTGCAATGTCCTTGATTAGGAAATGTCTAGTGAAGGGTTTGAGAGTGACATGAGGGGGGAAATAAGGGCTTACGATAAATAGTGAGGGCAGCTTGAGAGGACTGCGAGGTGACCACTAATATTATCTACAGTCTATTTATTTTAGGCTTTCTAACACATCATGTCAATTCAAGAGTAACTGCTATGAAGTTTTAGCAAAGCATGCAACAGAAGTGAAGGGGATGTAAGTGGTTTCACTAAGAACAATACATTCAGACAGATACACTTAGAGTATAAGTTAAAACGTGCTTTAACAGCGGACTTATTGTTCTCCCAGAATTTCGCCATTCACACGTATAACTGTGTTACACAGGAGTTTCCGTTGGAATAACTGAACTATTCCCTAATAATATCGGAGGCTGTGATATGTCCCGAAGAAGTGGACTAACAACCAATTGATCTCAGAAATGAAAATCCTCCCAGGTGATGGGAATATAAAGGTTCTGTAATTCCAATGAATACCGTGTAACTTTGATGAAGGTCAGAGCTCTAATTTTGGAGGCATTCAGGAAATCTTTTCATTTAGCGAAAGAAGAGTTGAACTACCAAATAAAGCTGTGTTCTGCTGTTACATACTCACTAGTAAATATTGTCAAATGAAGAGACATTATACACACGTACTGAATAATTCTATGTAACTAACTGACTCACCAAGTCATTTCAAATATTCAGAGGTCTTCAGCAAATCTCTCAATGTCCAGACAGTCTCCAGTGTCATTGGGATTGTTTTTATTAGCTTGCGTTTAAAACAGCCTCTCGGGATACTTTTAGCAAGAAAGATATCGTTATTTCAGACTGCCTTGTAATGAAAACTTATTCGCAAGTATGGATCGGTGTTCATTTGCACATAAAATATTCAGTGTGAAATAAATTTTACATCTAGACGTTACAGACTTTTATCAACAACTGCTCTTGCTAGCGACATACTGAAGATCAAATGGCAGGCCGGATGGCTAGAAAGAATTAACAACAAGAAACCCTGGTTAGGAAAAAACCAACCAAGAGCCGATTGTTCAACAAATAAGTAGGAGAAAGTGGAGGTGGATTAAGTAAACATTGATGAGGGCGTCAAATGACATCGCGCATTCTGCAGGACACCACTCGAGTGCAATCTCGAATGTAATGCGACGAGTGTGTCGTCAGTTCAGGGGTGATATAGTGGAGATCCTTCCAGGAGGAGATTAGAGATTCTGGTCGGTCGTGCATCCAACTAAGGGGGAGAGCAGAGAATGGAACAGAGTGTAAATGGGTTGTTGCACTCCTATAATCCACCCAAAACCTAAGGGATAATAATGATGTTCTACACTTCAATATTACAAAGCAGTTAGCTATACGAGGTTTATATTGGAATAGAATTGGTGAATGTCTTCGTCCGCATTGTGATTATTTTAAAGGAAGCCAGTGAATCATAAGTTGGTACACTGATTGTGTTTGAGTCTCAAAATTCCTCGGAATAAACGATTAGAAAATATCTAGCTGTTTATATATAATCGTTTTATGAAATAAGCTGACACCCTATAAAATATAATTGGTACTGATCAATTATTTGCAAATTTAACTTACCACACATAACTAGGTGACTTCTTTCAAACTACCGGTTGATTAATCTGTCAAAAAAGCAACTACTGCTGTACACGCAAGCTTCTCAAATCATCACTAGTAATATTAATATGACTGGTAATATTAATGATGACTATAAGATTTACCAAGCAAACATATCTTAGAGATTCCCTACCTTCCCATCGACATTTTCAGGTGTGTCAACAATAGTACGCGGTTTAATTTACTTCACAACGAGATTCCACGATCTATTTACTCAGCACAAACATTTGTCATTTTAAGACATTTCAAGTGTGTGACACATTTGCTAACCTGTTTCTGACAATGTTTATTTAGTTGGTGAAGACAGGGGAGGAGGAAGTTAAGTGCTCGTCGGACATACTGAATGCAACCGCTAATGTTTTCGGTTGAATTTACGATGCGTTGTTATAGAATAATTCACAACTTTTATACTACAGCTGTAGTCATCATCACTATCATCAACATCAACTTCAATATCATATTTACCCCTAACTTCACTTCTGATATTAGTGACTGAAAGTTTATAAAAGATGGAACACCGAGCTATATACAGGGAGACCTGTGACAGAGCTAGAAGTACATCTGTTAACATGAACAATAAATGCACAATGACACAATATGTAGAGTAAAGGATATCAGTTGGGTCCTCATCTTGCGAATTATTTCGTGATAAGTCCACAAATGGTCAGTCGAAGCCAGGAATTCATGGTTTCCAGTTGTATTAAAG